AATAACTAATTGATTACAAGAAAAAGTAATTACGTATAAGTTTCTTATTTTAAACAAAGTTTTTTAAATAATTTTATTTCAATTCAAAATTGATTACATACTCGTATTTTAGTTACAATTTACCTAATACAAATTTCTAGTACAATTAAAATTGAATTTTTCTACTTATGTAGGTCATTAACCTTTACCCATTTAAGTAATAGATCCAATTAGTATTTTTTTGATCTACCTCAATTCGAGAAATCGAATAATAACCTTCCTTAAACTAGCTAATGAATTAGAATTAAATCAAGTAAGTTCTCTACTTCATACAATAGAATTTTTCTAGAAATTATTCTAGTAAACTAAGAATAATTTCAATCTCAATATTATATTTTTCTTATAATTTCCGTAATTCACTAATATATTTAAGTATATTTATATATAAAATAATTTTTATAACTTGTATTTTTTTTTTTGCTTAAAAAATTAATTTAGTTCATTTGGAAAAGAGGGAAGAAAATAATAAAAATTCCTAAACACTATACATATACAAACTCATACGTACAGACAAAAGAGGTAAGTAAGTATAAAGAGTAAAAAAAATATAACAGTTTTTTTTAGAAATATTTTTTTTTTTTTGTTATTTTTCATTCAAAGCAAAACTCTTGAAAGTATTTATTCTTTTAATATATTTTTTTGTTTTATTTTTAAAATCTCCTTAAATCCTTTTTTGTTCCAAGATTTCTTTGTATGCACACCTTTGTTCTTTCAATACAACGTAAGGTAAGTGTCCCCATTACTGACATATTTCGCAACAAATTCAACTTTGGCGTGAGATATTTTATATGTGGGACACAATAAATGATCGTATTTCCGATTTTTTGAATAATTTGGATAATTGGGAATAATGTTTTTTATAAAATTATTTAATCAAAATATTTTTTAATTCATAATTTTTCGATTAAAGACGAAGAGAAAAAATGTTCCTAATATTGACATAACCGCAAATGTTTGTGTCTATTACTGACAGTTTGTGTTCCTAATACTGACAATGTAATTTTATATGCTGTAATCCATATTCTATATATGAATAATGGTTTAAAATGGTTAAAATGATAATATTCAATAAAAATGGAATAATAATTTGGATTTCTACGGATATTTCATCTTATTTCAAAAAAAATTAAAAATGAATCAAAATATAATTCAAACAAAAATAAAAAAAATATTTTTTATTGAATTAAAGGTAAAAATATGTGAAATTCAGCTGATTTGAATTTATTATTACTGTAGAATGTACTTTTGCTAGTAGTCTTAATATGCAACAATGAATTAATAAAAATTTTTAAAAGATATTTATGAAAATCTAATTCGAAATTATATAATTTTTTATAAAGTATTATAAGTAATATTGCCTACAGATGTATTCTTATAAAGAATACCTAAAATATGATGTACCGATCACACGAAATTATAAGAAATCATATCAATATATTCTAAAGCTGCTAATAAGCCTATTCTAAAGCTGCTTTTTGCTTTAACAAAGACTATTTATGTATTAAGTACGTAACGAGAGCAACCCATTCTTAATTTTTGGAACAACATTTCGGGTTATTAAAAAGGACTCCTTTTCTTATTTAAAAAGAACCATTTCCGTTGTGATATTTGTTATGACGTTAACGTTTACAGTAATTTCAAAGCATTTTTTTAGAAAGCGAATTGTACTGTTTTATTGACAGTATTGTATACAATATTGACACACAATTTGTTAGACGAATATCACTATTAAAAAGGTAAAAAGGTCGCTGTCAGATATAAGTTTTCACAAATGTAATCGATTTTCATTCGACAGAAATAGTTTAAACAATTTTAAAGTATAAAGAAATTATTTTTATTAATTAAAATGAATATCAAAATTAAAACTTTATACTGACATAATTTTGTACATAATATTGACCCTCTTTAGATCGTATTACCGACACCCGTTTTTAAAGCTAAAATACTCCGAACCTGTAGTAAATTCTTAGTGTCAGAATTCGGACATTAGAAAGAAAATTCAAATTCGATTTTAATTAAATAAATACGAAAATAAAAATTTAAATATTCTAAAAATTACGACATTTGTAAAAATACGGATTTTTGACGTATTACTGACACATATGTCAGTAATAGAAGCAGGGTCGAATTTTAGATGTTCCTAATACTGATAGGAATTATTTTTTAAAATTCTTATTTATTTAACGTTTTTACTCCGAATAACTTATAAAATAAGATAAAGAATAATCAAAATATTTAATTTAATATAAATACATATATTTTTAACCGTCAAATAAGTCAAAAAACAATAAAAACAAAATCGGAAAAATTAAGCAAAAAGTATAAGAAATTCTCCAATGCAACCCACTTTTGCTATGTCTATGGAAACAAAACTGATTTATGTTCAATATTTTGGAGTTATTTCAAAACTAAATAAAAGGAAGTATTGCGATAATTTGAATTAATCTAGAAATAAAAAAATATATATATGTTGTATAGAGAAAATCTCTTAATAATTATAAAAAACCTCATGTATGTCAGTATTACCGCCACTGTCAGTATTAGCTACACTTACCTTATATGAATTTTATATTTGAAAAATCTACGTGCTAATAATGCATCCATCGTCAATTCTTAATATACTTAAATATATATATATATATATATATATATATATATATATATATGCACACGTACGGTGTTTGATTTTTGTTGAAAAAATCGTATAAATGTATTTGTATAACACATTTCTATGCTCATATATATATAAGTATAACACATAATAGTTATTTATTGTATATAAAATACGATTACATTGAAATATAACTAAAAAAATTTCATGGTTTTATAACTATGTAAGGATATATATAAATATATATATATATATATCTTCTACTTCTCTATAACCAGTTATATATATAAGTATATATAACAAATATAATAAATTTTTGATTTTATTATTATTTTGTTTTCATTGTTTTTAATTTCATTTATTCTTTCACATTCTCTGGAATTTAGGTCAATTTTTAAAGAAATATCTTTTATATATTAGTAACCATATATATATACAGCTAGTTATATATATACAATACAAATACAAAAAAATATAATTTTTACTGGTTTAAAATATTATGAACAAAAGGATATATATATATATATATATATTATATATATAAATACTTAGTTATGAAAAATAATAGTTAGTTTTCCTTTGTCAGTATTAAAAAGCAAATAATATGCTTACTTAGTAGGTTAAGGAACTTTTTAATATAAAAAGAAAAGTATTTTTGGTTTTTTGGTTACACATATTTGTAACATTTTACACAAAAGTTAAGTACAAGTACTTATATTCACCTTAGAAAACAAAAATAAAGGAACAAAAAAAAAATTAACGCATCAAGTAGAAATTATTTAACAAAATTATAAAAATTTAAATTTAAAAAAAAAAAAAATAAAGTTATTTCGTACCCTTGAATATTTTATTTAATTATAATTTTTCTAAATAGTTAAATAATTACAAAATGTAATTAATATTTGCATGAATAAATTTTTGTAATATAAGTACTCAAGTACCTTACTTATAATTAAAACAAGTGTGAATAACTATAGTAAGTACTTATTTAGTTACTTAACTAAAAATATACAAATGTACTTAAAAATGTTACATACTTTTGTACCAACAAAATAATATTTTTCGGTTAATAATTGACTAAAACTTAACTAATCACACTTCATAAAATTTTGTGGCCAAAATTTGCAAAACTGATAGAATTTTAAACCAGTAAGTAACTTGATTATTGTAAGAAATGCAGAACATACTAAATTCGATTAAATTACTTGTACCTACAAAGAAATTCAATTCTTATCGAAAAAAAAAAAAATTCGGAATTTTCGGAATCACATAAAATGAAATTCGGAGTTCAGTAGTAAGTACCGTACCTATTTATTTATTAAAATTTTATTCATTGAAGTCAACAGGACTCCATTGATTTTCTCTTTTAATTAAATACCTCCACTTATTTCAATACCACTCGAATGAATTATGATAAGATGTGATATAACAACACAACTTCAAGGAGTAATAAACAAGTCTTATAGTTCGGATTCAATATGCATAATTTTTTTTTTCATTAGCATAAATAAGACCACGAGTACTTATTACTATTTTTAATAAAATCATTAACTTTCTTTTTCACTACAAATTGTAATCATTGCTCATTCGAGTTAAAAAAATTTACCTAAATTCTATTCCATATTTTATACTATTAATCACCCACCTAAAGTACGATATTTAAATATTAATACCTAAATTTCATAATTATATTTTTCTTATACATCAGACGGTTTTAAATAAATATAAACTTGATTATGATAAGAAGAACAAAGAATTGATAAGAAACAACTATTTTTAATAATAAGCTGATTTTATTTATGTTCGAATTTTTTTTTTGCATTTTAAAATCCAAAATTATTATCCAAACAGATATTAATTAAATAATTTGAATAAAATATGAACACACGCATTCTGGATATACAAATATTCCAAGCAGGTAGACAATTTTGCTTCTGGATATATAAGTACACCAAATGCCTATCTACCTAATGAAATTAATTAAAGAAAAAAATTATAAATGTTAAAATAATTTCAATAAGTAAATGCAATAATTAAAAATTTAAACTGATAAGTGTCCCATAATTGAGCAAGTACCTATTTTGAAATAAATTGGAGCCTATCAGTAATGATACATCTAATTATTAATCAATTATTTATTTAAAATCAATTTTCGAGCAAAACAGATTGCAAATCCTTACAATTCATGTTATTAAATACATAAAGGTCCAATTACAAGGGTTATTTAGGCACAGTTTCAACTTCATATTAAGATTATAATTTAAAAATATTTTACATTTTATAATTAACTATAAAAAAATATATTTTATGATATTAATTTAAATGTTCATTTTATTTAATTAAAACTTACCTTATAAACATCCCCATATGTACCAGAACCAATTTTTTGTATTAATTCATATTCATCTTGAGGATTTCTACGTGATATATCCGAACTTAATAAATTTGTATTGTGAGCCATATTGATTTTTTTTTTTTTATTTCACTAGGTAATTTCACTATATATATATATATTTATATTACGTTCTGTTATATGTTATAATTAAATAGTTATTAATTTAATTTAATTTTTAATTATATTTTCAATTTTTAATATTTAATTTTAATCCAATTTCCAAATAGGTTGATATTAATATAGGTTAGATTTACTTATATTAATTAATAATTATATAATATTTAATTTAGAAATTTTTATTATTTTTTTTTGCATTTATTAACTAAATTTTATAATTACTTAATTGTTATTTGTTTCTCTTAAAATATTTTATAAGATCATATTTTTTACTTATATACAAAAATTAAATTATACGATAGAAAAGCACTAAAATTATTACAAAAAATATATATATATTTTTAGTTAGGTATGTAGGTAGATAAGAGCGGCTAAGTATAACAAATTGATTTTCATTTAATTAAAAATTAAATAATTAATTAATAATTAAAATTACATTATTTTTTTTTTTTGGTATGTAAACACTAATTTATATTTTTTTCTTTTAATAAAATATTTTAATAATAAATTTTTAATTTTAACAAAAATTTCACTTCATTGAAGTATTATAGACCTTATAACACTTTCAAATATTTAAAAAATCAAATAAAAGCTACTTGATATAAATTTTATTATTTTTGATTATCTAAAAAATCACCAATAATAATTAGCCAGAATAAAAATGAACAAAAATTTTATCAATATTTTTTAAGAAATAAGAAGGTGGGGGGGCTAAAATTGAAATTTAAACCAAAAAACTAAAAAAAAAAAATCAATACTGGAACAAAAATAAAAATTACAAAACAAGAAAATCTAAAATGTTAAATAGAACCCAGAAGCACCTGCTTTTTTGTGATGCTTAAACTGGTTACTGTTGCTTGTATATTTTTGAAATATTCATAGATCAATAAATGCCTTCAGCTACCTACATAATATTGGGTTTTATTGGTAGGCAAGTATGTTGTATAGGTTGTTGTATATTAATGTTGAATAGATTACCCTCTTATGTTGTATAGGTTACCCTATATGCCTATATGCCACACAAGCAATTGATTTTTCTTTTCTTTTTAGTTTTCCTTCGTTTCTCATATGTTATTTTTCCTTTTCGGATTTAAAATTTTGTTTTTCCTTTTTTCTATTTTGTCTTAAATCCATTCAGTTTAAATGAAAATTTTTTCCATTTGTTTTGTCCACATTTAAGTTGAGATTGAACTGCATGTATTTAACTGGTTGCCACCTTTTCAAATATACATAATACTTAAGCAGGTATTCCGTAAATATTTTCCGTTTTATTCAACCTAAAAATTTTTAATTATATTAATTTTAAATTAAAATTTCATTCAAAACCAGTTTTCATATTTGTTTTTATAAAAGCAGGAAAAAAAAAATTTACACTCTTAAAAGATTTTCTTGTTGACTTTAAAATTTCAATTTTATTGCAAATCAATTTGCTCCCAATTAAATTCAATAATTTATAGTTTCTGTTTAATTGATAGGTTGATTATTGGATTTAATCAATATAAAAAATAAATTAAATTATAGAAATTTCATAATTCTTTCTCTTGTTTTTCAATCTCTTTCCATAGAATTTTTCAAAATGAAAAATTCAAATTTTGTTGGACATTGAATGAGTAGAACAACAATAAATACCAAAAATTTATCACATTTTTTTTTTCTAAAACTTTTCTCAAATATTCACTTAATTTAATTAATTATTTTATTATGCAAAAAAAAAATAAGAAAAAAAAATGAAAAGCAATTCTCTATATAAAATGTAAAAATTATTACGAAAAATTTAATTTGGACGTACAAAAAAAATTTATTACACACAACAAAAAAAAAAATAACAAATTCGGGTAACGAGAAAAAAAATTGGGTGGCTGGCTGTGCTTATAGAGTAAATTTCAGCCTTTTATTTTATTTTTTTTTCTATTCTTGTTGTTGTTGTTGGATTCGTATTATGTCGACATGAAAAAAATTTTTTTTTCCACAAAAATTTTCTCTTCTCCAATTTTTTTTTCCTTCTTTTCTTTAAAGTTTTCAATTGAATTTTTTAATTTTTTTAAATGTCATTTTTTTGCCAAATTATAATTTCAAGTTTTTTTTCGTATTACTATTAATTTTTCCTATTTTTTAATAATTCTTTTATTTGTTTAAGAATCAAAATAAAAAAAAAATAAAATAATTAAATTTTTTTCTTTTTATAATTTTTTAAACCCGCACGTCTAACTTTTTTGAATGAAACTCGAGAAATCTACACAGACTTTTTTTTTTTTTGCTTACTTGCCTGACATGACAAGAAGAAAAACCTTGTAAAAATGTCAAAATAATTAATGAAATTGACATTTTGGTATAATGGTATTTTATGACATTTGTTTATTGGGATGTCTTTAAATTTATTGGGATATTATGATAATTTTGCGTGGAATTAATGTGGATGTAAATGGAATTGTGTTGGTATTGGATTTGCATCAGCGCACGTGAATGAAATTTTTTTTTACAAAAGTTTATTTTACAATTATTTACTGTACAGGAATTTAAAGGAAAATTATTTAGAAAGTTTTTTGTAACTAAATCAATATTAATTTAAATATTGATTGACAAGGGTAAAATTTTTTTGCAAATAAAAAAAAATTATGTATCATCTTTACTACGAAAAATTATACAACTTTTGGCAGTATGTTATTCAATTAAAAAATTCGACGCGAGTAGAAATTTTTAACGTTTACTAATATTTTTTTACCTTCTGCTTTCTATACGCGCGATTCTAATTGTTATAGCTTTGCTAATACGTGAAATATATAGAAAAATTAATGTAAATTTTCTTGAAAAACAAAAAATTGTAAATTTTTTTTGTTGACATTTTTTTGACGTTAAGATGTTTAAATTCAAGAAAATCAAATAAATCAACACCAATCAAATAAATCTTTACACAAAAACTTTACTTTGAGACTGCGATTTTCACTTAAAAAATTGATACTCATTTTTTTAGTATTAATGTTTTAAGCAGAATATTTGTGTAACGTTAACAAATTAAGCTACATGATATAGTAAATTAATTTCAAATGTAAACTGCTCATGGAACGATCAACTTACAATTTCGTATAGCTTTCTTTTATACATAATTGTGAGAAAATCACAGTTCTTATTCAAAACGACGTTAATTTTTTTTTGTTAGTTTAGTTGTTTTCAACATTTTTTCACTTGAGTAGTTTTTTATACTACTATCAAATATTTTATAAAATTAAGATATTCATTGCTTATTTGCACCGTATGGTGGCGTACATTAATTTTATTAAATGTTTCAATGACCTAACATGTCAAAAATTTAAATTTTATCGTATATAACAACCAATAATATCCTCTTTCTATTTTAATATTTTTCTTTTTAACTGTGGCGATATCTATTGTTCATCAGAAGAATTAAAATTTGATAACATGTTTCAACACTAGAGGAAATGGAAATACGTAGTTATAATTTAATTTTAAGTGCTACCAACAAATTTATTGATTACTTAAGGAAAAAACTGTTAAGTGTTCGAACCCTTATTTTTTATATTATTTATCAATTTTAATAAGTTTTTGTAATTTGCCTCAAAATTTGATAAATGTGAGAGACTAGTTTTTTTGTGTTTTAAATTTTTTAATATTTCGGAGCAATTTACAGATTTTGCAGGTATTAAGTGTGAATGATACTCTGCAAAAAATTTAACTTAAACAATTTTTTATACAAAAAATGTTCACAATTTTACTCCTTTTAAAAGCTTTATGTTAATTTAATTAAAATCAAAATAAATAGATGTCTCTAATGGTATTCCCCTTGGAAATTTCAATCTTGTTGTTTAAATTTTGAATTTTTAATTTAAATTTTAGAAAAACAAGTTAAAATTTTAAGCTTTTATTTTATTAAAATAAAAATCTATTTAGGAATGTTATGTTTCTCATATTTTCCTTAATGATTGGAAGAAATAAAACAAATTGGATAAAAATGTTTGACAACAGAGTGTATAGGAATGTTAAGGTAAATGATAAGAAGGTAAAAATGGGGAATAATTAAAACGAAACATAAAAAAAAACAAAATGTAAAAAAAAAAGCCACTTGTTAACATGATTGCTATACTCAAAAATGTTATGTTAATGTTAAATAAAAGAATAAAATGTTAAAAACGAAAATATTTTTAGAGTTTGCTCTTTAAAGCTTTTAATTTTTACAATTTTATGTTCCTCTCAGTATTACCGTCTTAAATTACTATAATTAATAATTACGTCATTAATATTATGAAAAACTTGATATATTTTCAAAAAATGTATTTTTTTTCGACAAATAAATTTTTTATTATTTTATAAAAATATTAATAAATAGGGACGAATCTTTTCTTCTGTATGCAAAAAATGTTCTAGTGAATGTTCAAGCTAGAGTAATTTCTTTTTAATTGGATTTGTCTATATTGGAATCTATGAATATTTTCTGGTATGAAAATTTTTTCAATTATTATTTTAATTAAAAATATCCGGTTCAGCAGGTGTGTGCATAATATATGATATCTGGAAGCATTTCATTTGCTTTTAAAAATTAAAATAAACTCGGCAGCACTGTTGCACATTAAATTATTGTACACATCTCATTCTACAGTACAACATACTGTTCCGCTGGCAAAACTGTGATACCATGTAAGTGCAAATATTTCCAAAAGTACTTTACCAATTTTCTGTTTAGGAAATGTCAAACAATCCATCTTTTAAATTTATAAAAATATGAAAATTATTTAAAGAATATGTAATTATTTATTTGTTTTTACTGTTTCATAAATTTAAAAGATGGATTGTTTGACATTTCCTAAACAGAAAATTGGTAAAGTACTTTTGGAAATATTTGCACTTACGTGGTATCACAGTTTTGCCAGCGTGTTCTCTATTCAAGTACCGTTTATATACTCTGTAAAACAATAATGTTAAAAATTTTAAAACATTAAAGAAAAAAAAATTTTAACATTTTTTATGTTGAATTTTTTTTTTTGTTTAAAATGTTGAAAAAGCTCAAAGAATAAAATGCAAAAGCATTTCCTTTTTTTTTTTTAATTTTTCTCTTTTTTTTATTCATGTTAAATTTTTTTTCTGATATTTTTTTCTCTTTTACTTTTCTTCTTTTTGTTGTCATGTCAATAATATTCAAAATGGAATTTTTATTTTAAGCTTTAGTTGCTCTTAGAATTTGACGGTAAAAAGGTGTTAAAGAAAAACTGAAGGTTTTTTTTTTCTTTAACACGCGCAATGTAGAAAATGTTGTAGTGCTTTTTTTTTTGTATTATTATTATATTATTAAATATTATAAAAAATAAATAAATAAATAACAAATATTGGAAAATAAGAAAATATACATAGTTAGTTCTTTTATTTCGGGGATAGAAAAACATATGTGAAGATTATATAAAAAAAAAAAAAAATTATTTATATACAAAATTTTACATACACATATACATTAATAATATTTGACAGATAAAGTTAATATTTATTTTATATACATATATGTATGTATGTAATACATTATTTACGATAAGAAAATATTATGTGTTTTTATATAAAACAAAAATCAAACGTATATAACGTTATATAGAATTTCGATTATTTACAAAACAAATTGAATAATAAAATTTAATAATATTTTAATATTAAAAAATTTTTAATTACTTTTATTATTTATTAATTAAAATTTAGCTTATATGAAGCAATAAAGTGATTTTGTAAAAAAAAAAATTTAAGTACTTATAAAAAAAATATTAAAATTAAAAAATTTTTTTTATTTAAAATATAGATTTCGAAAGTGTTTTATATATATACAAGAGTAAATAATTTTGTGAGAAAATATTAAATATATAATTAAATAAAATAAATTTAAAAATTTAAATAATTTGACTTATTTTATGATTCACCCGTAAATAATTTAATAAAAATATATACAAAATACAAAGTTCGAATTTCGAAATTCGAAATAAAATTGTGTTAATCTAGTATGAATCAAAATTTATTTACTAAATATTAATTATTTTAATTTTATTAATTAATTAATTTTAATTTTATTAATTTATTAATATTAAAATATAAAATAAAAAATTTTGAATTCTGTTGAAAATTTTTATGAATCAAAAAAAAAATTGAATTTAATTTAATTTAGAAAAAAAAAATTTAAATTAATTAGAATAAATTTTGAAAAATTAATGAAAAATTATTTTATTATTTTATTTTCTCTATTTTTTTTTTTTAAATATTTTCATTTTCTATTCTTCATTTATATAAAATAAAAAAGAAAGGCAAAAATTTAAAATTTAAAAACAAAAAAATCAGGTTTTTGTTTTCTATTTTAATAAAATTTTGGCAACAAAAATATTGAAGATGAATTTTTTTTTTAATATTTACTGTTATACATAATAATATACAAATAATATATTTATATATATATAGGTATATACATTATTTACTTATGTATGTACTTAATTTTTCCTCTGAAAAAGAATTTTAAAATAAAAATTTATAAGACTTTTATATTTTAAATGTTTACTTATACTTATATATATTTAAAAATATTACGTAGTGAATTTACTATATATGTATGTATGATATTAAAATATGTATTTATATGTTTTTTTGTGAAATTAATGTGATATTAATTTTCAATAGACGTTTTGAATATGCAATTAAATATTATTATGAAATATTAGGAATTTTATAGGAAGGAATTGTGTTATATTTGCATATGTACTTAATAATTAACGCCTAAATGTTATATACGTATTGATTAATAAAAGAATAATACTATTTTTAAAATGTATAAAACAGTTATAGAAATTTTGGATATACAGCCAAAATATTATCAATAATGAGATACATGTTCAAACTGTATATATACTTATATACATTATGAAATTAAACTCTTATAAATTTTAAAGTTTATATTATAAAATATGAAATTCAATAGAGTTTAAATATGCTCATAATTTTACTATAATAATAGCTAACAATGGCTCATAATGCTATTATGAGACATTTATGATCTTATTCAAAAAATACTAAAACAAAAACTGTTATACAAACCGTTACGAGCAAAAACCCTTGTGTTAGAAGGAAGAACACATTCCGTTACGAGTGAAAATTATTTAAAACTGGACTCGAACAGTTTTAGTTAATTCTGCATGTGTTATTCTGCGGTTCTATATAGCATAATTTTATAACTGATATATATACTTAATCATATATTTTCGAGCTATAAAGATTCGACCCTTTTTTGCATAAAATAAGAAGTATATTTTGAGTACGGTATCATCTGCATTAAGCGTTAAGAAATCGTAATTTTTGAAATTATGTCACTGTTGCAATAAATTAGTGTATTTATAAGTAAATAATTTATTAATAGTAATTATTTTCATAGACATATATACATATCTATACATACATATATACATCTCTTATTTTTTATGTACATATAGCAATAGTAATAATTTATAACAAAATTTTGGGAATATTTCTGCAGTGTTTTCATATTGCAGACAAATTTTTTATATATTATTTTTTCCATAATTACAGAAAAATAATAATAAATTTAAATTTTCAAGGATATCTTATAGGAAACAGATACAACTATTATATTATATACATATGTATACAAAGTCATCTGCTTTCAAAAAATGTTCGGTTCAAAATAATATTTTTTTTTTTACATTTTTATTTTTCTTATTATTATTTTTATTATATGAGTTTTTTGTGCCAAAATATTAATAAAAAAAAAAAATAAAAAAAAAATAAAAAAAATTTTGTGTCTTCTCTTTTTATTTTATTTAAAATAAAAGTAAATAAATTTTCTTCAAAAAAATTTTCTTCTTATTTTTTTTTTTATGTTTTTGTTTTTATTACTTATTTTCATATTAAATTTTTCGGATGAAAATTTCAAAATAAAAATTTCATTAATTTTCTTCTTTCATTTTTATAAAAATGTTCGAATTTTTCAAATGTGTAAAAAAAAAATAAAAAAAAAAATCACAGTTTTATCGAGCATTTTGTAAAATAGAATTTTTAAAAATTTAACACAAAGAAAAAAGAGAAAAAAAAATAAAAAATAATTAAATATTCTTTTTTTAGTGTCATAATTGAAAATTACAAAAAAAAAATTATACACAATTAAAAATTCAAAAAAAAAAGAACTGAGAAAGAAAAAAAAAGCATAAAAAAAGCATCTATTACCTTTCCTATATTTTTGCCTATAGTTTTACCGTTAATTACCAAAAAAAAAAAAAAAATTAAAATAAATTAAAAAAAAATAATAAAATATTTTTTATCTGTGGTGTTAAAAAATAAAAAAAAAAATAAATAAATATTAAAAAATTAATTTTAAAAAATTTGCCAATTAAAAAAATTAAAAGAAGAAAAAGAGAATTTTTATTTTAATTTTTCTCTCATTTCTCTCTATATACTTAATATAATCCATTTAAATACGCGCGCGCTCTCTCTCTCTCTCCATCTCTTTCTCTTTTAATAATTAATTGTTTAGAGAGTTGAAAATTCGTTTAATTTTTTTCAAATTTTTCACCAAGAGGAAAAATTTTAAATTAAAAAATTAATTATAGAATTTCAACAATTTTAATTCAAAAAGTTTTAAAGACTTTTAAAATCACAGTGATTTAAAATTATTATTATTATTTTTTTTTTTCAATTAATTTATTGATATTATAAGATTGTTATAAGAAAAGTGAAAATTACAAGTGAGTGAAAATTTAAAAAAAAAAAATTTTTTTATTATTTTCTCTTTACAGGAATCTTGTAAAATATTAAGAGAGGATAATTAATAATTAAAATAAAAAAAAAAATTAATAAAACTAACAGTAAATTGTAAATTAAAAAATTTTATTTAAATTTTTATTTATTTTATTATTAAAATTAATTTTAAATATTTTTGATTGTATTTTTGTTGACTAATTTTTGTTTTTTGTGTTATTGTGCTTATTAAAATTTTGTGTACATTATTGTAAATAATAATTAAAAAATAAAGAAATTAATTAAAGAAATTTTTTAATAATAAATTGTAATTAATTAAAAATAATTTTTTTTTTTTGATAAATTTGAATTAAAAGAAATAAAAAATTTTTGCTTAATAAAAATTGTTAAAATATTTTGTTTTTTTGTTGAATTTACACATATTTTTTTTTTGTATATAACAAAATTATTTAACAAAAAATTTTTTTTTGATATACTTACTTATATACTTGTAATATACTTAAATCAACACTATCTATATATAAGTATATTGTTATAATTAAGAAACAAACGCTTAAAATTGTTTTGAATTACTTATCTTTGAAGAAAGCAACAAAAAAAAAATTAAATACACACACTTGTAAAAACATCAATTTGAATAAAAACGCTGCACACGCTTACTATATATACATATATAAATTTATTTTATTTATAATTGGGCCAAAAATTTATTCGGGTATTTTATATTTTTTTTTATTATTATTATTTTATAATGTTTATTAATTAGAAATTATTATATTTTAATTAAAATTTTATATTAAGTATAGATTTTTAATAATTAACAAATATATATACTAACAAATTAATAATTAAAAAATATGAATTACAGTTTTCACTTATTTTATATTATAATGTTTTTATTAATACAATAATAAATAATAATTATGAACATTAATTTTATAAATAATTATTACTAACATATATATATGTGTATGTATATGTATTTATTTAATAAATTTAATTGTATTATTTTTATAACAAATATTTACTGTTCGTGTACTTATAATATGTACGTCGGATTACAGCCATTATATTATATATATAATATTATGTACATTACGTTTATATATGATATATATATACATATATATCATATACGTATGTATATATATATATATATATATATATATACATATAGATATATATATATATATATATCATATATATATATATATTATATATATATATATCATATATATACATATATTATATATATATATATATATATATATATATATATATATAATATATATATATATATATATATATATATATATATATATACGTATATGATATATATGTATATATATATCATATATAAACGTAATGTACATAATAAAGTATTTGGAAGAATTAAAAATTGTTCAATATCAGATAAGGCCCCCAATATAAGTAAGATTTTATGTTAAGAACTTTTAATAATTGATGAGAATTATGGTACTGTTACACGATTTTTGTATTTACTCATGTGTATACTTAAATAACTGAATGTAAAAATACTTCGGAATCAATGTCGTCTGTTAAAACAAATTAAGTCCTGGTTCAATATTTTGGTATATATACGAGTATATATATATATGGAATAAATTATTTAAAAAAAAAATAATTAATTATAAGTAAGTAATTCGAAGTAATTTCTTAGAGGACGTTAAGACCTATTATTGAAAAGAGTTAAAAAATTTACGAAATTGAATGACGTACACATAAACCATAATTATAACTTATACACATATATATATACAAAATTCGTCTGAGTTCAATGTGATTTGAATTTTCATTCCTTAAGAAATGTTGTCTAAATAAATTGATTTTTATCTATGATCTATAATTTATGGCAATATTAAAATTAGAATTTAAATTAAGCACCTTATATAATATTTTTTTGTTATGGTACTACGTTCCTGGGAGGAGCACATATGATATTGTTAATAACCACGAACAACGAGCCTTAGTACCCTATATAATATAGTTTTTCTTAATTTTTTTTTTATTTTGGAAAAAGTTGTTTGATTAGATGGGCTGAGCTGGCTAATGATGGAAATTTATTGCTTGTTGCGTTAACAAGAGTTATTTTCATATTATAATTGGTCGGATATTTTGGATTTGGCAGTTATCAATTTGGATTTTAATTTGAAACAGCATCTAATTTGCCTTGTTCTTGTAAAAATTCAATTTAAAAAAAATAATTTGCTTAGTACTATAAGACTTACTGTCGGTCAAATAATACCTATATATATGCACATACATATATAAATAAAATTATTTTAGAATATTAAAAATTTATTCGCAATTTTCTAAGACTCTCTTATTTATTATTAAACTCTTAAATATACTTGGGACATATATGGCGCCTTAAATTAATAAAAACAAAAAAAAAATACACACATTATTTCCTTATTATAAAAATAAAAATATTATCTTACTTAATATTGAAAATACAATTCTATTTTTGAATTTTTAATAAAAATGCTGTAAAACAAAAATATAAGATGAAAATAATGAAAAAAATGATCAAAAAACTTAAAAGAATACTTTTATAAAGCACTTTATCCATAATTAAAATAATCTAGTAAGTGTGTATGTATTGTTGTGCATATTATGTGTGTATGTATATAACTTACATATACATACTATATATAAACTATTATATAATTGGTTTGTAAGGAAATGCATGTATAAGATGCTATATCTCTCTTGAGATAATTGAATCATACTAATATATGAGAATTATTTACATATTTTTTATTTTATAAAAAAAAATAAAATTTGTAATTTGATTACTTAAGGAAATTTATTTAAAATTTATTTTTGCATGTGTATATATGTACATAAATATAATGCCACTTATATAAGGATATAAAATGCATAAGGGATTTTATGTAAATTGAAAAATTCCAAGTATTTATGCACAAAAAAAAAAAAGGGATGGAAGTATTGGAAAAGTGCAAAGCTTTAGCAATTTTAAAGTAATACTAAAATTTATAACAATTTCTGACAATTTTTCATTGTTATATTCAAGTATATTACAATATATACTTGCAAAATTTTCAACAATTTTAAGTAAATTGTTATATTGAATATATAACACTTATAATACAGTCAATATTACATAAAAATTGGGAGTAAAAATATATAATCCATTTGTTAACATATAAATTTCTATAAAGTAATCTTTAAATATCACTTAACAAGTATATATACACCCAATATTCTACAATGTATTGTTGAAAATATTGTAGAAATGCTTAAAAAAGATTTGGCCAATACCGAATTGATGGGTATATTTTTAATGCATTTCTACATTTACATGTAACAAAGAAAATGCACTTATTAAAAATTTAACCCTATTCGTTCATACGTCCAAATGCCTCTGTACATAAAATCTTAATGTTATTTGTTTAATGTAAGAAACCTAATGTCCTATCCCCCCTTTTAAAAGAAATGTGTAAATCGACATTGGTGAATGTGACAAGAAGTTATTTTGTTTCTTTTAATATTAAGGAAACGTCATAAAAACAAAATGGCACCTTTCACAATTAGCAATTTGTAATTTTATTTATTTATCACCATTATAAATAGAATTTTTATCGAGCTTTTAAAAGCTAAATGGTAAATTCCTTCACATCATAAAGAATATACAATGATATATTTTAACTATGACGTAATGACAGTTGTTATTATGTCAATTATAGTTCATTATGGTAGTTCATTATGGTCCATTTTTGTTTGAATTAAAACGTAATTGAGTGAACCCAAAAAAGTCTATTGTACGGGCGTTTACATTCGCGTTTAAAGCAAATGAAGCCTTAATGTATGCAATTATTTACGAATGTAATATATATTTTTGATGAATTCTATTAAATTCTGAATATATTTAAATAATATAAAAGTAATATTATTTTCATAAATATTTTATTTATTGAATGTAAAATTTCACTTTTCTAATAATCTAAACATTTCAATAAATTTTAAATATAATATGTTTTTGGTTGCCCTTGAAATACAATATAGTTTGTTGACATTTTTTATACTTACATTTGTATTTGCGAATGTGTGTGTGTGTCTCAATATATTTAATCACTAATTTCTTGCCATTTCAACTTTATATCATTAATTTTTTATTTAATTTTCTTAACTTTTAAGTTTCGTATTGTATATATGAAAAAACATTTTAAATTTCACTCATTAACAACAAAATACCTTTCATACAAACATATGTATACGCATTTATTATGTACGACAAATCCATACACACACACACATATATGAAAGAAGAAGAAAAAAACAAGATTAAAAAACAAAATATTATTAAAAATGTTTCAAAAATAGAAACATCACATTTTGTTTTTTAGAACAAAAAAAGAAAATATTAAAAATTAAAAAAAAAACAAATATTTGCTATCGTCTCCAAAAAAAAAAGACATTTTTTTTTTCTATTTCCTACTCAAATTTGAATACAAAATAGAAAAGTAAATTGAGAGAATGAAAAAAAAAAGAAAATTCTTTCACGCAATTCTACATAACTATTTTATGTTTTACACGTACTCATATATGGAGACGCGCTTTAAATATACAAAATTCTATACGTTTAAAATACACAAAGATGGTTTTCATATTTGCTAGTATGAATTTAGGTAATGTGCCGAATTTTTCTTTCTTTGAAATTTATTTATTCATTCATTCATAACTATGTTATAAAATGTAGGTTTTTACACATACATATACATATTAGTACCTGTGTAATATACGAGAATGTTACTATATCATTAAAATCTCCAATTATAACTGTTATTATTGGGGCATTATTGAGATAAATGTTTGTAAAACCAGGTTTATATAATGCATACTTACAAAATATTTATATTTTTTGAATAATTTACAATAATTCAAAATCGACACCGGCACTGACTTAAGTGGGGCTTACGAGACTTGCAAAAACTTTGTAATT